GTTGGGAGTGACAGGTTAATAATTGAACAACGTCGATCGGATCCATGCCAATGTTGCTCATGTGTCAGCTTGTCACTCCCAACATAGTTGACCCATTTTTTAGTAGGTTCAGTTGTGACCGATCTGGGAGGATTCTACCCAAATTTGAGTAGTTATGAAATAACGTGTAAGCATTGACGACAATTTCCGTTGGGGATCATTTGATTCGTTTGGGTTTCCTGCACATACGAATTTTTCCTAGATACAAGCTTCGTCCAGTATACATTGGCTGTCTCCAACCGGCATGATCCTTTCTGTCTGCTTCCTCTTGCCGGTGCATGTTTAATGCTTCTTTGCTTGTTCAAACTTCCTCGCTACTTTCCTCATATTGATCTTCTGGTCGTGTTCCCATTTGTCATCAGGCAGTTAATATTAGTAAGGCCTGCACTCGAAAAAAATTTCCCAGACAAAAGTGTTCGCCAAAAATTTATTTTAAGTCGGATTTTCTTGAAACTTTCAGGGAATGAACTAATACACATGGATTTTGTTTCGGCATAATTACTTTATTCAATTTCCTTTCCATCACTGAAAGCCCGCACCTTTCCCTTAAGACCCCTCATTACATTTTGTGCAATGGTGGAGCCGACCTTTTTGGTCACTTTCATCCATTCTTTCTTCAACTCCAGCTCGTTCTTAAACACCTTGGACGATTTTCGAACTTTGGCCTTCATTATGGTCCAAAATCTTTCCACCGGACGAATCTCTGGTGAATTTGGGGGGTTCGCGGTTTTTGGTACAAAAACAACGTTATTGCCTCTGTACCAATCCAACGTCGATCGCGCGTAATGGCATGATGCCAGGTCCGGCCAAAATAATGTCTCGCCTCCGTGGGACCGCAGGAAGGGCAACAGACGCTTCTGGAGGCACTCGGTGCGGTAAATTTCGCTGTTGATGGTACCCATTGTGATGTACAGTTTACTCAGTTCACCGCATTGGCACATGGCCTGCCAGAGCAAATATTTTTTGGCGAATTTGTCCACTTTCTTCTTCCTTATGTCTTCCGGAACATCAAACCGTGATTTAGCAACGTAGAACTCCAGCCCCGGTATCTGCTTTGCGTCTGCCTTGCGGACCTTGAATACACGAAGGCTAGCTCGTTTCATGGTTTGCTGAACGAACCAGGCGGAAAACTTTGCCTTCAGAGCCGCGTCGCGAATCGAAAGGTTCGGATTACGATAGAAATAATCCAACACCTTCCGGGCCTTCACAGGGTCAGCTGTCTTCGATTTTCTTCCACTTCCAGCCGCCGCTCGGTCGTCTGGGACTCCTTAAACGATTTTACCACCCGAGACACAGTTGTATGGGTAATACCCAGTTGCCGCAGTCAGATTTTGCATGACGGCGCGCAAAATTCTCCGGCGATTTTCTTCTTGTTTCGATGACATCTCAATAACCACTGAACCGATTGTTATGAAATGTTGCACATGTAAACAATTCACTCTAAACTAGTTATACCCAGATTTTCATCAATTTTTACCCACGGATAAAAAAGGAACACACGGATAAAAATGGTGCATTTTTTTCGAGTACAAGCCTTACATGATAGGAAGAAAGAAATAGAACAAGTTAAGTGTGAGCCGCATGCATTGGTTACTTATTTGGGTCATGGTGTTGTGTTCCCTATTTATTTGCCTCTATTTCGCTCTCAGATCGCAAGCTTTAATATAATTGCGTATTTTTTTTTTTTTTAAATGTTGATTTTTGTCCCAGTCTTGTCTTCTGTCGTCACTTATTTTGTCATTTTGTCTTGTGTATTAAGCCTTACTTGTCTTGTTTATTGTGTATACTTGTGTCTATTGTTTTTAAACTCGTTCTGTTACTCTGTCATGACTAATTTCATTGACATATAAAAATAGTAATATCAATTACAGGATAATATGGTTATTTCTCGATTACTTTTTCAAAGGGAAGCACCAGCTCCTGCAAACAATGCATCCGATCGTCGACCAGACGCAACCGGCAGCTCGCACACGCTTATCAACACCACCAGCAGGTAGAGGAAAATTTCCCCTATCTGATGCTAGTGCCAGCACGCACGGGTGAGCCACCAGTTACGCCAAATCGACGACCAAACGCACCGCCTACAAAATCTGATACGCTCCCTTGAAAAAATTATCGAGATTTCTACTAATTAATGAATTATTGACAATTACCTCTCATGATCCTTGGCTCCACTATGATTTTAACTTACCACTTTTTGATTATTTATCAAATCCCTCTCCGAGGATATAACGCTTCGATGCCTTGTTGGTTTCTGGTCTCATTTGGATTGGTCCTGAATTTGTTTGATATCCTGTTCGAAGTAATTCTTTGAGTTCCAGCTTGTACGTGTCTCACGTCATATGATTCGCCATTCATAAAGATAATGGATTAAAAGGGAGTAAAACATACATAAAGGTAGATTAGTATTACTTGTACTTGATCCAAACAATAGAAAGATCATTTTAGTGTTAGTAGTTATGTTAGTTTTGATCCGTATTCAGCCCTGCCGGCCCCTCCAGCACTATTTGCAGCAATTGTGATAAGATTATGCGACACTGCTACTACTACTATGTTAGATGTATGACGCAATGTCTTTCAATAAATCACTCAATTAATTTGACGTTTGAAACTTTGCTCAAAAGGGTTTTGTTGACACATCATACCTTACCGAAAACTAAAGCACAACAATCCTAATTCTTATTTCAAACCTATCAACATATTTAACACATCTTTCCTAAAACTTTACGTGTTCGTAAGCGCCTGGTTGAAGATATGACTTTCGCTATTGACATTGTCTGTAATTAACAAATACACTAAATAGGAAGATTTATTATACAGCTTCATAGGCTAGTCGCCTCCCTAAGCGGAGCCCCGCGTCCTATCTCTTATGTTAATTAACTTTCTGAATTCTCTAATTGAAGTTTATTTAATAAATAACTGAAATCTCTAATCAACCTACACAATCATAACCCATGATTTTAAACTAAAATTTAACGTGTTTCAAGTACTGCTGGCTTTGACATATATTAATTATATCTTTGTTCGTCCCAGGTGACACCTTCAAATGACTAAAATGCTTCACGTTGAAGTTAGTTTCCAAGCTAATTTTAAATTGTATATTGTATAGGGTAAATGTTCCAATTACGCTCTCACGTTTCCACTATGTGGCACCACAAAAATACATATGGGTATGTCACAATAGAAGCACACCACAGTGGAAATCCCGAGCCATTAACACTTATCCCAAATCAAAATGAAGCACATATAAGATTAGTTACAGGTATTGTACAAAAATGATGTTTAACATTGTTTCCTGAGTAATACTTCAATGAAAACAACAATGAAAGCTTGTCACGCAAATAGAAGGAGCACCGTTGGGCACTTTCTGAAATATTTCAATAGTATAATTCCCTTGCAAACCCAAATAAATCTATCTGCGTAAAAATAAATAAAATAAGAGTGATTTGCGGCAAAACCCGCCAGTATCACACCCAACGTCAGTGCCTATACGTAAGCGTACTACGACGCGGCTCTCAATTAAAGGAGTAACAAGTGTGATACTATCACTGCTAGACTAGATCTTTGGTTCTCTCATGCAGTGGTTTATCAGAGAGGGGAAGCTTAGTAATCCCCATTGCCTGTCCATGGCGCCATTCTATCGCGGCATGAGCCAGCAACGCCGACCATAAACCCACCGTCTCCAACACTCCACTAGCATGAAATTAAGCCCGCCCACCAACAGCAAGGTGCAAAAACTAGCCAAGGGGAGGGCGTTATATCGAAGTTACGTTTTCGAAGCAATACAAAATTATTGTAAAATAAATAAATAAATGTGTTCAAATCTGCCTGGGGAAGATTTGCACATATTTATTTATTTATTTATTTATTTATTTATTTATACAGTAATTTATTGATAAAACGAACTTTTTTTAACCGTATAGGGGAATTTACGTATTCTCGGCAACCTAAGCAGCGACCTTCTTTCTATAGCCTTTTTCTCTCTGGAACGCACACATATGCAGTATTGATTTGTTTACAATCTTTTGCTGCCAGCTGCTCTAACAATTTCAGTCGAAAGAATTGTCAAAAACTGTTTTATAACGCTTTTACAAAGCTCCAATCTTCTCTAGTGAGAGCGAGTATTGTCGGCAACCAGTTTTTCTTCGGCAACCGTTCCATTTGAACTGCATGTAAATCTGCTGTTCTATTATCGGCAGCTCGAAATCAGCTACAATTTGTAGTGCGTGTGTTTCATTTCAAGAAAACCCTGTTAGATTGCTTTTTCTCAGTGGTAAAAATATAGTCAAATTGAAGCTGAAAGCATAAAGAATCGTTTGCATGCATTCAGCGAAGTGTTTTCGTAAGAAAATCCAGTGAAAATAGTGTTTCAATTTGGGTTGCCGAAAATAGTCTGCCATGCCGACGGCGTCATTTCCCCTATATTATTGTTCTCAAAGCCAAATGGAATTTCTAAAACTTTTTCTTAGTCAAAATTTTGTTACAATCTACGGTTTTCGAACTATGATTTTTAAAGAAAATAATATATGTTAAAACACATCCGCCCTTTTGAAAGATAAGTTTTGAGTTTAAATGGTCTCTTGACCAGTGGAAAACACATAATTTTCTACACCGAAGAGGCGTTCAAAGTTTCATCGAAATTGGAGACGCTCGTATAAGATTTGGCTGGAATTGCTCTTATTCGTTGTCAACCAATCTACTCCAAGAATCCTTTACAAAAATAACTTGAATGGAATAGTGTGATATTTTATACGAAAAAAAAAGTCATATGTATATTTTTCAATACATCTATAATCCAAAACACACATAAATATATCATTCAGACATTTATAGAAATTTCAAATATATCATTTCAACATTCATAAAAAAATAATAATACAACATAAACATTCTTTTTGATGCAGTGTAGAACCACATCATGATAGAACTGATACATTTATCATGTAAAGAAAATACATATCATTATATGTTAAATTTAAAACTGTTTCAGTTAGACTAATTAGGCACTTTTACTCTTTTCGTTTTGTTCAGGTTTCGTTGCGTTTGAAATATATCCTCAATAAATAATACTTGCCGTATGAAGTCTCCATAATTACCAGCGAATTACCATTTAACCTTATATGCATATTAAAAGACAGGGAAACTTGTCAAATAATTGACTACGAGTCTAGCCTAACATATTTCTCCTATCGTTTCCATTCTGGAGAGAGCGAAAATTGCAATCAGCATACATAATCTTCGAATCACTCTAAGATCACGCCTCACTTACCTGTTCTTGCGTACGAATACTAAGGTGAACAAGAAGGGTTGCCAATTCCAATTCCTCGCTGTACTTATTTCTTAGGGGGACACTTCGATATCCCGTTCGGAGGGTGTTCACCTGTTTGGTCGTAGAAATATACTGATGCATTTACTAATTCTAGTTAATTTTAGAAGAACAATAAACATACCGGGAAAATTGCCTGTCCAATGAAATTGGGCTCACCGAACATGTCTTCGTCTTGAACCTCGAAACGTAACATGGCAAAGTACGGATTGATGACACGGAATTCACAAATTTCATTCCAAATTGGGTTGAATCCATTGTCAGCTGTTGGTGAAAAATAACGTTATTATACAAAACAGTGCCACCATTATTCCTGTCGATGTTGTGGTATTTCAGGGTGTATAATCATTTTACTAACTTGAGATTTTCAGAATTCTCCATACCTATATATTGGGACGGTACTAATGGATATTCTTGGTCGCTATTGAAAATTCAGTCGATTGCTGAATTTATTTATGGGCCCAAATAAGGAGCATTTAGGCCGACATTACATCCATTTCCCCTATATATATATTCTTTTTTTCCGATTGCAGTGGAACGTCAATATGCATGAACTGAGAAAGCAATTCTTGAAGAAGGTCTTTGGCTTTTTTCAAGAAATTGTAGCACTAAAACGTCACTCTGATCGAAATGACGTCTGAGACAAAGTTGTTTAGAAAAGTAAAGTAATTATGGGAAAAATATACAGGGTGATTTATTTAATTGTAATTTTGAGTAAAAATTCAAAAAAGTGATAAAAACTGAAATATTTTTCAAAATATACCATTAATATTTATAATTTATTTTTTTAATAAAGCTCATGAAAAATGCAAACTTAAACTATGGTCACTTGAAAATTGACAAAAATCGTAGAACATCGCGTTTTCGTGCTACAATTTATTGAAGAATTACAGACGCCATTTTGTAAAAATACCTCATCCAAAATGGCCGAATTTTTGTAATAATGTAAATTTTTGCACATAACACACATTTTGCACATTATGCAAAGTTTTATGCCAAATCAGAGAAGATCGAGTTTTTCGGATTTTCCTATTTGCCGTGGAACATCTCTGCAAGAGACATAAGACAGTGTTTAATTATATACAATTTGACGTCCAAGATATTTTCAAGAATCAATATACAATAACCTCTCCATATATGCGGTGGGTGGTACCGTCCACCCTCCGCTGTTTCTCGGCTGCCTTTTAACCAATTACGCTGATTATTTGTATGTGATTAGTGCCGCGAGTTATCTAAAGAAAATCAGCTCAATTGGTTGAAGGACAGCCGAGAAATAGCGGTGGGTGGACGGTACCACCCATCGCATATACGGAGGATTACTGTAGTGTATATTGTATATGTCATAATCATCCATTCAGCCAAACGATCTAAAGCTTTTAGAATACTACTCGAATAGATACGATTGGATGTAAAATATATTTTGAGGGGTCTCTTTCTTCACCTCAAGGTGCTACAGAAGGAAGGAAGCCATTATTCTGATACCACGTCGCAATTTCTGGGGCAAAACTGATTTTCTTCTTTGTTTTATTTAACGTCGGTCTCTGTTCCGCAATCTAGTGCCAATCACCGACAGACATCGATTGTCATTCATTGACGGCAATCGAATGTGCAGGAAGGCAGCTTCCACACCTGCTTAGGATATCGCACCCACTCAACACACATGGGCCGGGACCAACGGCTTTACTTCCCTTCCGAAGGAAGACGTGACCAGAGATTGTTATGCCTCAGAAAAATCCCACCGTCCTCGGCTGATATTGAACCCTGACCCATTGGGGGGAGAAAGTAGACACGCTTACCACTACACCACCGGCACCGGCTAAAAAAACTGATTTTGTAAACAGTGACCGCCGATCGTAATCAAAAACTCACTTCTGCATATTAACAATGCCAGCTGGTAGAGGATACATTAATCTACCTGATGGTGTCGTTACTTTGCATGAATGAGTTGTTATTCGGAAGAAATCGTTTACATAAAAAATTTCACCCTTTTTAAATATTAGCACCGACATATCAGCTACCAGAAAAATACAATAACCAAATTCTTCCACATGTTTGCTGCGACGCAACAAATATGTTGAAGCAAATTTTCGGAATGTACGAGATTTACTCCCTCGAAAATAAATTTGAAGTGGCAGTGTAAGTCATCTATCCTGCCGATGATTTGTGGACGCTGTATTGTATCACCTTAAGTTTCACGATAGATTTTCGCAAAAAATACTAACCTACTGCTCTGGTACGGTGTTTAACTCCACTGTCGAATGAAGCACCTAGTAGGTCGATTTCTACCAACGGGCTCGTGATGTTTCGCCCGCCTTTGCAAAGATGCCTTGCACCAATAATTCTAATATTAATCACCTTTTCCTCCACACCAATCAATGTGTTCGGATCATTAGGATCGAATTCCTCTCGGAACATAAATTCCGGTTTCAATATGTACCCGCATAATCCGTTGTCCCTGAATTTGGCTTGATTAAGTTGCATTGGTTTATCGGGTGTCTGATAGTTCAGGGCAATCATCTGAGATCCAGTATTCCACAGTGGCACCGGGTGGTAATTTGACGAATCCAATCGTTGGCCTTTAGGATACACTCGACTAATTTGGTTACGATGATACCGAACAAACAGTCTTGTCTCTTGCTGCAAGAAGTATTTTTCTGCTTTAGTCTCTGGAAAGCTCGACATCTCATAAAACACCCAAGCACAATTTTTGAATGGAACGCTTCGGCAATAGATAATCATGTCGGACATCTCCTTCGCTACGCGAGAATTTCGTTCCATTTTTCTACGTTCATCTTCCAAGACGCTAGCATTTTGAGCAGCTTCCTTGATTGCCGTCATCCACTCCATAGCATGTTCTTTGGTTTGCACTCCCACCTCAAAAATATTCTGCATTGACGGATTCTGAATCCGTAGTATCCGTTCCAATTCCGGGTGTGGACCGTATGTCAAATCGACCACAGCTCCGTGAACGTCCAGAGATCCTGAAAGGATATTTTTAATTGTGATCAATTATCGTTAGCTACGAAAGCTTTTGCAATACCTTTTTGTAAACTTCCCAACATTAATGAATCACTTCCACTATCATCGCTATTCCCATCAGAAGTGCCAATCTCTTGAACGTAGTTAGCAGGGAAATAGTGCTGCTTTTTGCCACCATAATCCCCAGTCCACCAAAGTTCATTACTTTTCTTTACGCTGGTTATAATGGCATGTTTGCAAAACGAGAGCTCGTCATCGCGTTGTGCTTTGTAATCATAAAGTGCTTTTACGGTAACCTAGAAATCAAAATGTACCTCAGCGCAGATCCAAACAAAGATGTCCATATTCCACTTAATTACCTTCTCGTTAATGCAGGAAGGATCCATGTAACTGTAAGCTCCGTTATCTTCAGGACCCTAAAAAGACCAAAATCCGTTGATTAATTTGTAAAGTTTGATAGCATCAGAAATTAACTCGTTAAGTTGTTTTCATGATACAATCAATCAGGGGTTGTCCATATACTCCGTAAATGTCCACGTGTTATATGGACAGCCCCTCCCTCAGTTGATTTGGCGTTTAATCACTTTCGCCACCTGTTGTGCTTAACAGATGCTGGTAGATTTTTAACGTCAATATTTCACAATAAAAAAATGATCAATATGTTATGTCTGCATACTGCAATACCTACATTCATCGTATTGATGCGTTTCAACATATCTTTCGGTATTGGGTGCGTTAGTTTAACCTTTTTGTAGAGAGGATGTTTCATGTAGAAATTGACGAGATCTATTAAACTTTCGAAATCCATACCGCCCACTCCGTAGAGCCGACCTTCGACTTTGATTCGACAATGTTTTATTTTTTTATGAGCTCTGAAAGAAATAGCAAAACTTATTTTGAGAAAGCAGCCATGTCCTTATCGGACATGTACACCGAAACTGGAAGTCCGATTAGTAGATATTCAACACAGTTGACCAAAAGTTAATTAAGTTTATCAAGTACTCTAAAAAAAGGGAGGTTAAAAAGAAAACATAAAAATGCCTTTCGATCCATACCTGAATGAAATTACGAATGCATTCGGTCCCTTATCACTGGGTCTGACTAGGAATGCGCCATCGTTCAACAGCTGATGCAGTATAATTTCCGATTGCTCACGGGTTGTATTCTGGTGGTACCATTCTTTACTTTCATGCTTGTTCGGCTGTGGAACTGGTTCTTTCAAAGTAATATAAAATTCCTATATATATATAAAAAAGACAATTTAATCAGTTATCCGGAGCGCATTACACATTACCTTATCTTACTGAGCTTCTCAATGGGTTCTGACGATAATGAATAATTAAACTGTATAAACTGTCAAACAGATTGTTTTCCATCAAGTAATATTTCGTTACTCCTTTATCTTGCTTAAGTTTAATTCTGAAATAGACAACAGTTGTGCAGTTTCTACGTCATGTTTGAAATGATGCAACAAAAGCAATGTTAAAGCACACCTGCAATGATTAGGCTTTCCTTGACGCCAAAACGATAAACAATAGTCGCCGACAAATGTGACACTCTCGCGTACGAGGAATGTTCCATCACCAAGATGAGCGTATTGGCGTAAGAGACTTTCAGCTTCCTCCCGGCCACCGGACAGTTTTCCGTGAAACCAATTCTCTCCGAAATGTAACTCATCATTCGTTACGCTCTCCTTCGGTCTTGAAAAGCTACTCTCAAATTCGTCATCACGCACATCTTCCCGCTCCGTTCTGCATGAAATTATGTACAATGATATTTAGACAAACGCATAACGAGCTATGCTAACGAACGAAAATATCAGCGTTACATCGTTTCAATCATCATACTTACTTTTGACTATCCGTATAAAACAGTTTGTGTTGAGTCAGAACAAAAAAGTGTGGATTCCAAACCTTATCAACCGGGTCCTCCAGGAATAGTATCCCATTTTTGACAGTATTCCTAATATCCAACTCAGTCTCATCGGCTCGTACCAGTGCACCATCGTTCGGTACTGCACCGTCCTCTTGTTTTCCTCCATTCTCAGGTAGTTTCTTGTGTTTTAATATTATTTTCCTTTTCAACTGTTGCGGCGAAGGAAGTTGAAGTTCATTTTTCTCTACTTGGTTAGTAAGCAGCATATCACCAAACACTTCCTGCATCGCATAGGCCATTTTTCTTTGTTGAGCTAGTGAGCAATTTTGTTCAATTGACAGTATTACCGGATATTCGGACGTAACGAACGCGTGTTCCTTGATTATTTTAATAACATCTTTAAATTTAATTTTCGTTGTGAACGTGTGTCCATGGAAGATCAGTGGCATGTTGTCAGGACCATCCCAGCAGTCCAGTTCAATGCACCGACAGCCCATCCGCAATGCGCGGGCGTACGCTTCGACGGAGGACTCGCTAGAGAATTGATCACCAGTAAGATATGTATTGTGTGACGATGATATCCAATAGTGAGCAAGAGGTCGGTTCATGTCCTGGTAAACCGTATCGCAATCGGTGTTCCAGACTTCATTTTGCCGTGAAAACAGAAAATCGATGAACTGAAAACATAGAATTATCATTATGAAAAGTCTATTGGTTTAGTTTTTAGGTTTAGACGTTTGGTGCCCTCCGGATTTTGATTTCATGATACTGTGGAGGCACCATATTTGACTTTGTTTTGTAAATCTTCTATTCGTTGTTCTCTAGTTTGAAGTGGTTAAGACTAGGGTTCTGATGCATGGTCATCGGTGTCATTCCTTAATTTTGTTGTTAAGGAATCCAATTTTGACTAACCAAGTGGCGCGCCTTTGGAGGGTATTCCAACACTCCGAAGGGTATATATAGCGGGACCTTTCAATTAGAGTCGGATCCTTATGATAAATGCAAGAATGACAACTGTAAAAAAAATCGAATACTTCATCATTTCTCAATAGTGATGGAGTAATATGACATGAACTAAACTAAGGACACGGGATATACTACAATAGATCAAATTACTGGTCGCAGTGGAGTTAGGTCCCGAACATAGGAAAAAAAACTCCAGGTCCAGGCAACCCGAGGACTTATCACTATCAACAAGGCATGAAAAGTAGCAAGGACTAAGATGTGTTCCTTTGATTACTGAAAAATCCTGTTCCTTTAGTTTGAAGTAGTCAAGACTAGGAATCGGTGGTAGATCTTACATCCCGTAACGTACCACGAAAAGGTGATCTACCCACGTTACTACTGTTAAATCAAATATTAAAAATCCATCACCACCATCGTGGTCTTTTTATAGTTTTTACAGTGCTACAATAATTATTAAAAAGTCATTATGACAGCTATCCATACAAAATAATCCATTATAGATAACTTCGTCAAGATACATAATTTGTCAATTCATAAAAAAAAATCACTGGATAATTGTTCAAACGACAGATTTAGCGTGTGAAATGCAGTGTTTTTTTTTTAAATTCTGTTAGTGTTGCTGAACGTGTGAAATGTCTAGGCATCGAATTGAAAACATTTATTCCTTTAAAATACAATGAATTTTGTGAAGTCATGAAATGTGGTGTTCTTATTTCAACCGCGTTTCTAGTATTATATCTATGAAAGTCACTTCCTCTTTCAATTCAATCACATAAATATCGAGGCAGCAAACTGTTAACTACTTTAAAAATGAACACCATAGTCAAATATACAATTCTTTACTTCACCGACAACCATTGTAAGGCGTCTAACGTCAAAGCTGAGGAAGTGAATCTATTACATCTCAATATCAAACGCATTATTTTATTCTGCACGCGCTGTAATCTCGATATTTGTGGTTCATTGACCAGAAATAAAATGGAAGGGCAAATGTCTAGATGAGAGATGATTGATTTGTATAGCTGTATTTACTAGCAATAGTTAAATTATTTTTCAGTCGACATACAATTCCATACTTCTTGGTAATTTTCTTGATGACATTGTCAATGTGAGAGTTGAACTTAAGTTTGTCATCAATAATCACGCCAATATATTTAATCTCCCGAACGCGATCAATAGTCTCATCATCAATTACAACAGAGATGTTCTCATTTAATCGATTCCGTGAAATTACCATAAATTTAATCAACTGCTTATTTTTTTTTCTCCTCTGTTCGGGATATAACACCACTGCGACCATTAATTTGATCTATTGTAGTATATCCCGTGTCCTTAGTTTAGTGCATGTCGTATTACTCCATCACTATTAAGAAATGTTGAAGTATTCGGTTTTGATACAGTTGTCATTCTTGCCTTCATCGCACGGAATCGATTCTAACTGAAAGGTTCCGCTATTTATACCCTTCGGAGTGTTGAAACACCCTCCAAAGGCGCGCCCCTTTGTCAGTCAAAATTGGATTCCTTATCAACAAAAACAAGCTATGAAACCGATAATGACCATGCATCAGAACCCTAGTCTTAACCACTTCAAACTAGGGAACAACGAATAGAAGATTAGGAATCACATACATAGGTGAAGACTAACTAACTCATTTTTTCCTTGTTTCAAGATCATCCTCGGTCCAGGCAACCCGAGGACTTATCACTATCAACAAGGCATAAAAAGTAACAAGGACTAAGATGTGTTCCTTTGATTACTGAAAAAAAAACCTGTTCCCCTAGTTTGAAGAAGTCAGGACTAGGAATCGGTGGTAGATCTTACATCCCGTAACGTACCACGAAAAAGTGATCTACCCACGTTACGGGGCATCAACTGCTTATACTTTAACCATCTACTTAGAGAACGCAAATCTTCATTCAAGTGTAAAACGGCATCATCTAAATCCTTAGCTGCAATGAATAACACAGTATTATCTGCAAAAAGATTAATGTCGCAAAATTGTAAAACACGTCGCAAGTCATTGATATACAAAATAAATAACAGAGGCCCTAATACACTTCCCTGGGGCACTCCAAGGTTATTTTCCACGGGACTGGAAACAGAATCATTAAAAACAGTCCGTTGAGTTCTGTCAGACAAATAGCTTTCAAACCATTTATATGCAGTACTCGTAATTCCAAAGCGCTTGATTGATCTTAACAATAAGGGTTTAGAATTTTTTTTCAAAAGCGCGTTTAAGATCCAAAAAACAGCAACAATCGTATCTTTACACTCCAAGTTATTTTTCCACTTCGCTAATACCAAATTCAACGCGGTTTCACAAGAATGGCCTTCCCGAAATCCCGATTGTTCTGGATTCAACAAACTATTACTATTTAAATACTCCAACAGCTGGCCTTTAACAACAAGTTCTAAAATTTTCTCTAATATGTGCAACATGTAGATGGGACGAAGCTCTTCGGCTTTACTCGTTACAACATTTTTTGAATAGAAACCACTAAGGATTCCTTCCAAATTTGTGGCACATGTCCAGTTTGCAATGATTCATTAATAAGGTCCAGCAAGATGTGGCCAATGACACGAAAGCAATCATGAATAACTCTAGCATTAACATTGTCAACTCCAACCGATTTCCCTAATGAAAAACAAATAACTCTATGTTCATCTATTGTGATTGGGTGAAAACCTTCAAATCTACAACTACTATTAACTGGCTGTTTTATTTCGTCAGGTTCTTCGACCAATTCAATTGATTGATTAATCAATGAAATACTGTCGATAAAATAATCATTAAATTTAGATACTTGTTTTGACTGTTCTAATATGCTATTAAAAGTTATGGTTTTAATAAAGAATTCAAAATTTTCCATAACTCTTTGCTGTTGTTTTGATTCTGATCAATCTTCCTTTGAACATATTCACAACGAGTTTTCTTGATCGATTGTGAATACTTATTACGCGTGATTGTGTACCTATTCCAATGATTGTCATTATTTGATCTACACATTTTTTTGTACCATTTGTCCCTTTTCCGTTTAAGACGCAAAAGATCAAAATTGTACCAGCTGTTCAAGTTCTTCAAAGAAACAAACTTCTGCTCAACTAGTTTATTGGTACACGTTTTCAAAGCGTTATTAAGAACAGGTGTAGATTCATCTAAGATATCGGCCGCGAATGGAAACTCCCAACAAGATTCGAAGCAGCCTGTTTCAAATATTTCCTCCAGCACTTCAATTTTACTAATTCATCGTTGTTATTGATATTATCTATACATTAATCACTAACGTCTCATGATCGGTTATTTTCAAATCAGTATCCGTAACTGAACAAATGAAATCAAAATTAGAATAAACGTGGTCAATTAAAGTTCTACTGTGCCTGAAAATACGCGTATATTCATCTACCGTTTGTTTTAAATTGAAAAAAACATCTAAACGATTCGAATTATAGTTATCACGTCAATAAATATTAACATCACCAGCTAATATATTTAATTTACTAGAATCAATGAATATCTCGAGCCAGTGCTTTGAAACTTCAACAAAACGCTGGTCAGTAGAACTGGGTGAATGATACAAAACACCATAATTACCCATCTTCATGCCACGTACAACTGTAATGACCAAGAACCAGTTGCTACAATAACTTCGTTGGTACAAATATTGAATTGAACTGATTCTTTGACATGAATAGCAACACCGGCAGTGTGTCTAGAATGCAATAAACAAGCAGCAACATTATATCCCGGAATGCTATATTGATATATTGCTTCAATTTCTACATTATGAGTTTCAGCTAATAAAACTAATAGTGTACGTTTTTCCTCAACAATCTGACGTAATGCTTCGTAGTTTGTTGACAACCCCGCAATATTATAATACAAAAAAATCGAATTGATTTACATTCCACTTGGCTGCTGTTTATTGAAACGCAAGCTACTTTTCTTTTGATCAGAAAGTCTTTTATAGAGCAAACATTCAGAGCTAAATGTGACATGGTTGACGTCCAAGTTCATTTAACGTTCATTATTGGCAGATTCACACTGGCGGTAAAATAAAGTTACTTTTAATTTGTTCGTGAACCGCGCGCGTACACTCATTCGAGGGGCACGCAATACAAAGAACTGATGCGTTGAAGTTAAAATGCAATCATGAGTACCGTAAAACGGGGTATCTTTGATAATGCGGGTAACTTTGATAGTATAATATGTATGAAGAATAAATTTACTCGCTGTGCTTTTTCCTAATAAGAAACTTTGGTTCCATATTGTAGCTTAGGATATTTCCGTTAATAGTTTTTAAATAGTATGTTTTACTTATTTTACAAAAATATTAATAAACCATTTTCGTGTTTTCGTCTTTTTGAAAAAGCACTCAAACCATCACTTATGAAATGTATTTCCGATACAGTCATCCCAAATTTAATGTTGTATTCTTATTGCTTATGAAGATTCCTGATTATATACTCATTCAATGTTTTATATTTAAAGAACTAAATTGTTTGAGTTTCACTAATTTTTTTTTCTACATTTATCGCATTATCAAAGTAACCCCAAATCAAAATACTGAAGTTCGGTCACAAAACTAAAAAAATAGTACAAATGATTTGATTTTTGTTCAACATACATACCCGACATGGTGCATGGTGCATTTACGGACGACATGCTATCGAAAGCAGTCTTGTGGAGTACGTGAACACTCACGTGGAGCA